AATTATTATATTTTTGAGTAGACAAATCTCATAAACGGGCCACAAATTTAACAGGAAAACGTGCGAACTGAACAAACTGTCTGTTGTACATTTTAAGGGTTCTGCTCAACTTACACAATTTCCCCTTGCTGAAGATAAACTGTACCGAGCCGTATCTTGGTCTGCTATATATAAGCTATATCATGGCTCAAATTTTAAACTGTAGGATCCCTGAAAGAGTTCTCCTCAATGGAGCAATATGTAAAAGGTTTCACGCCGGTGAAGATGTGCGGCCTGTCACCTCTTGCAAGTTTTTACGTTGAAGTAATCGTGTATCGATTTTCGAGCCATATGTGTGTACTCTGTGTCACGAAACACACGAAAACACTACAGACGCCAGTGATCACGCTCCTCAAGTCGCAGAATATTCATAGGAGTCTCTAACAGTTTCTTCGGAAAATCAATCACTGGGGCTTCACTGTTTGACCTCAGAAGTATATTCCTAATCTCCGTTGACGGCAAATACGTTTTGTTCTGAAGCCACACATCATGGCATAGTAACCTCTCCTTCAAGAATACCTGCGGGGCTGGGGAAACTGGTGAGGCTGGCTGACCTTGAGGGAGGAGTACATGAGGCGTTTTTCCTATTTTTGCTTACCCCTCAAATGCATTTTGCCGTTATTACTGGCCAGCACTGAATGATTAATGCTTGGATAAGGGGAATTCTAATAAAAAACGCCAGTATAGTGTGAAAATATGAAATTATTAGCCAGCAAATTTAATGAGAAAAAAATTTTTCTCAGATCTCAGCTGTGCGCACGGGCGTACGTGCGTATATGGACGCTACGCCCCTGACAAGTTTGCTGTTTGCCGCTCGCGATTTCTCTTCGATTTTAAGAATGTGCATGCGTAATAAGCAAACTGACCATGATTTCTCAACGAAAATTTGACCAGTTAAGATATTAGTCTTATAAAATGGTGTCAGTATATTAAGGGAACTGTGTGATTTCCTTGTCAGTTAATTCTAGCAGGGAACTATTAAACTGGCAACAGCTCAGACCGGATCTCGTTGACCTCTCTGTCAATGTCACGTATTATGTAATTCTTGCTTCTTCCTTTCAGCATTAATGGCGTAAACTAACGATGACATTTTAACCTGATATTTTAAAGCCTGTTTGTCAGTCAAAGTGCTGAAACGGTACATTACCCGAAATTTAAGATAAATGGCGGACTCGCAGACTATAAGCTCTTTAAAAATTGTCGCCGATAGTTATTAGAGAAATGTATGGAGAAAATTTAAGAAGTGGAAATTTCAGATTTGAAGTAGCACGCACGACATTTGCCGACCTCTAAATTTAAAGTGTACACACCATATCATTATTTACTACAGTTTTAGTCTCTCGGAGGAGATAACGTGTACTCCGGATAATTTGGGGGGAAAAAGTAGTAATTAAGGTCGCTAAAAAGAACGCTCCACTTAAAAAAAAGCGGAAATTAACGTGTTTTTAAGAGACTGTTTCTTAAAAGTTTTTAAAGGACTTAATGCAAGAATAATATTTGTATAATATATTATTTGTGCGAGGAAGCTCCAGGAGGAGGTAGTGGCTTTCAGCCCGTTCTGTGGATGCCGGAAGTAAATTTGTTCCCTATAACATAAGTCCCTTCGCGAATATCCCCTCAAAATATTAAAAGTTTTCGAATGCAGCTGGTGTAACAGCTGAAGTGTCACAACAAGGATGAAGTTGTTGTTGGTTGATACTTTTTTCCGGAAATGAATTTTTTGATGGTAAAAATGTTTTACTGTTTTTACAAGAGAAAATGATGAGAGATATCGATATCATATATCGATAGCATATCGATAACCATTAAAAAAATAATCATAACTATAACAAAATCGTCAAATCTGATTGGCTATCAACTGCCCTGATTTCAGCCTTAATTGGACAGTTTGATAGGACAGTACGCGTCATGCCTAAGTAATTGAACAGTGCGCGCCATCACGCGCGCGCTCAAATGGCTTTTTTTTTTCACTGCTAGCAAAATAAAACATTTCGAATTTTTTGTGTTTTGATTTAAAAAATAGCCTAGTATGTTACAAATTTTGTTAAAGGTATGATTAATTGGTAACAGAACTTCGTGTCGTCCAATTCGGTCTGTAATCATACTCGTGATTAAACAAATCGGACTGCCGCTACGCGGTCGTCCGATTTTGTTAATCACTCGTATGATTACAAACCCAATTGGACTCCACTCAGCCTGTTACCATTACAAACAAAAATCACGCAATACTCGACTTCACCATGTACTTTCATCCATCAGCAAAAAGGGATATTATTTGCCTAAATCAGAAACGTGATGTTAGCTTCCTGTAAACGAAAACAACTGGACTTTTTGCCCGGGGGTACTTTAGGAATTTCTGGGTGGGGATGTGCCACTGGGACCCTGGAACCCTTAACCTATACCAGAGCTAGTTCAGCTGAATTTTGCTAGCCTATACTAGAGTAAACTCCCCAAATGCCCCCTATCCTAGAGTACCAGTTTCCCTGGTCTAGATAAAATCTTCAACCAACTGATCAGTTTCCTGAAAAATGATACCCTATTCTAGACCCAAACGCTCTGATTTGCATACCTTATCCCCGATCCTATCCTAGAGTAAACTGTTTGAAAACCATACCCTTCAGAGCGGCACATACCTATATAGCCAATGTATGGCAGTACCCACTCCGGGACTTTTTGTCAATCAAACCGCAGCTGGGAAACGCTAGAAAATCAACTCAACCCTTCCGCATTGAAATCATTTCTGCTCTTCCGCTTGTGAAAGTAATTCTAACGTTGTAAAAATAACTCGGCAAAAAATGTTTTCAGAGAATGCTTTCTTTCAACCTAGAACTCGGCTGGGTTGGGTTTCTAGGGAAATAACCCGGCAAAATTTAATTTTTTTAGGCGGGAATCATAGGGCGTGAAATTTTTATGAAATAATTAATACGGACTGCTGTGTAGTCTAGACTGAAAAGAGGGGCATGTAAGTCAACATTCTACCTTATTTACTTCTCTAACGTCAGCTGGCATGTAATTAAGTTACTGATAACCATTCAGCAAAACGGACACACTCGTGAAATAACGAGAATAATCCGTAGGTTACTATTACATAGTTACATGCACGCACGTGTGTGCGTGCTTTAACCTGAAATAAAAAATGTCGGAGGTTTTTAAAAAACATATTGAAAAGAAATAAATTAAATACGAGTCGGTATACAAGTCACCGCGAAAAGGATCCTGGTGATGGCTGTGCTGAGTGTAAGTAGGAAATGGAAAGTTAGTAGTGAGGGGGAAGGGGGGGAGGAAGCTGAAAGGAAAAAATAGCAGCGCTATCTTTCCTAATATTTGATATATTTCAACTTTCTGGAGATGATACCCTGATTGTCGATTTTTCATTTACTTAAACTCGTTTGAAGTTAAAGTAGAAAAATTGTCAATCCCGCGGCGGCTCAAGGAGAAATACCCAGGACGCTCTGGCGCACGAGGGGAGAAAAGAAGAGGAGCCAAAGTCTTTAAGGGATGTCGCAATTTGGTCTCTGAAACTTGAAATTGAACTCCAGCGAGTTTATTTCCTTCAGCACTCAAGGGTCAAGACTTTTACACTGTCCTCAGCGAATCGGACACAAAAATAAGATTAACATGAATCAAACTAGTTCCTGAGGCGTTAAACCTGCTTCCTGATTAGGTAATACAGTAACGTGGAAGAAAAGTTAAGTTTCTTTTTTTTTTTACGTACTGAGTGAGTCAACTGAAACTAGCCTACGTCTCTAAAATCCACACCCATTTTCAGACCTGGCCTTCAAGAAATTATGTCATCATTACTTACTTATTCATTTGGAACTAAAACGATAAATATAGCTTCATACAATCCCCTAGTTCCCTCGAAAACCATACCCGATTCCAGACCAAAATCAACAAAGTATATGCCCGTTTTCAGACTCAGTGTACAACGTGTAATGGATGTAACTAGCTAACTTACGCGAACAAAAGCGGTGTCTGTTTCCTACTGATTAAAATAATTAAAAGACGAAAACTTATGAGTTTATTGGGCTATTTTGTAGTGTTTTATTTTTAACCTGCATTTAGTTAACACAGGAAAGTGTTGTCACTTTAAGTTTTGAAAGATATGATCAGAAGAACTATAAAAGGACCTCATCTAGAGCTCATCAACCGAGTCTGCAGTAAGTCGACATTTCAACCCTCGTCTTTGGAAAATAATATGGTAAGAGAGAGGTGTTTTTCATGATTCGAAATTATACTTGCTTTAGATAAGTACAATTTCACTGAAATAGGTTTGTTGAAATATTCAGCTGTTGGCGATACGTGGTTTTCTAGGAAATCTTTGTCCTTCCTCTTTCCCGTATGACCTTCTTAATTTGCGTCGCGTTATATACATTTTCAAAACCTTTTTTTAAACTCGTGAACACTGAATTATTTTTATCTCCAGAGCCTAAAACAAAATTTGTGATTTCGACCAGTAAAGTCAAAATAAAAAGGTATTCTGAAGGGCGGGTAGAGATAAAGGATAGGAAAGGTCGGAAAGAAAGAAAGGAAATGTGTATTACTTATCTCCTATATAGTTGTGGATATTTGGCGAAATTTACGAATTTATTTATTTATTTATTTATTTATTTATTTATTCAGGCTTCATCGGCCGGTTTAAGCATCCTACTGAGTGTTTTTCTTCTCTCTCTTATCGAAGTGGACTGCATGGTAAGTAAGATGTGTCTTGAAAGCCGCGATTTCGAATTTCAAATTTACGTGCTATAAATGTTAATGCTAGTCACGCACAATAAAACGCGAGAAACATTCGTGAAATTCTGAATCACTTGAAAACGAGGTTTTGCAGCTTTTCACACATAAAATTAGCTTCAGAAACGAATGTCTTCCTAATAAAAATGAATTTGTTTAGTTTAGTCTCATGTTATCTGTGAAATGGTACATACTGACATCGCTACTTCTCATTCGATATCTCATAGCGAGAAAAGTATGCAGTTCAGTTTACCGAGGACGGAACACCCATCAGAGAGGAAGTAAGTGTAGATGTTGACAGCGGAACGGAAGTATTCCGTGTGCCTGGACACAATAACAAAGAAGCAATGGATGTGATGAATGACTTTGTAGCGGTAAGTCTTTAACGAAATCGTGAGAGGCTCACTTCACCTTAGTCTGCTACACAGCCGTTTTTAGTGTTAAGTGGGGAGGAGCGTTGCGTGAGTGACGACACTAAAAACGGCTGTGTAGCATACTAACTTGACCTCAGTAAGGCAGTTCCTTGTTTTAAAAATTACGAGAACACTAAATCCTGATCCTCTCTAGCTGTCCCCTGAACCTCTTTTTTCTTTGAATGCAAAGAAATGACTATTGTTTAAGAACATGAGGTCTAACACGAAAAAATGCATTTTTGCACAATCATCTTTTCGCAGAGTCAGAAAATCAGTAGTAAAAAAAGCATCTTTTAATTTTTGAATAATATAATATTGTTTTAAAACATTGTCCATAAATCTGAGTTGTCAGCACGGCTATTTTAAATCCACAGCTCCAGCGAGGTTTTGCAGTGAATGAGTAATTGTTCCTTGATGGTGATGATGATGATAGTACAAAAATTGGATTTCTCATATTTCTTTCCTAGACATTTTAATGCACAAGAGATTAAGCTCTTGTGCATTGCTCGCGTACGAGTTTTTAAAAGAGAATTTGACTGTGAACCAAACTCTGGAAAATAAACAATCGCTAAGGGATTAAGTTAAATGTTATGCCTTACTTAGTTATACAGTACTTAGAAAAGCTAATTTGCGGGTTAATGATTGATCAATGTATCGTCATCCCGACATCAGGTTGCAAAACAATTTACGATTCTTTCTCTCAGGGCCTGACTGCTCGTCGCCTTCTGTCAATTCAAAAATGTTATGTGTCTAAGTTAGACCCAACCTTACCCACCCCACAGAAACTGAAGATTGATATGGAACTGGTAAGTTGTTGTTGTCGATCAGTTGTTTTATAGTTATTTATTTATTTTTAAAATATAACCGGTTGCAATTTCTGCTTTCATCAAATGCATTATTTAGGATTACAAGTTGAATCAAACATTTTCTTTATTCAAGACAATGAATGTCCTCTTTTCTGAATTGAATGTCGTCTATTCTGCAAGAAGAGACTAGAGTTAATAAGGATTAATGTCAGTTAGGGGTATTTGGCCTTACTCTAGTGTGACTGTTGAGAATGACTAAAGATGAGACATTAGAGTACCCTACTTTATTGCAGAGAGGGTGGAAAGTTATAAGTTCAGTTACTGAAGGAAAAAATAAGCGACGAAAGTGTGTCCGCCTGAAAATGACTCACGGTTCTCGCCGATACAATTCCTGAGTTATTTGTTTTCTAACCTTAGTTATTCTTCTTTCATAAAAGGCAACAAAACAGCCCTTGACTGACGAGAAGTTAACAACCAACACAACTCCGATTGTGTTGGGCTTTGCAGACCGCTCCTCATTACCACAAAGGATTTTGGACTTTTGTGGCAGTCTCCCCATCTATGAGGTCGAAGAAGTCTCAGTGGAGGAGATGAACGCGACTCTTTTCAACTCGGAAGGTACAAAAAAAAAGCTTTAATTTACTATTTTATCAGAAACGGATCTGTGACAAAAACACACACACACACAGGCTGGCTCGCAAAGGTTTTCTCCCCAATTATGAAGTGCATTGTATGATACAATACCACTTTCAGCCCCGGATTACTGCTCTTTGTTTACGTCTGTCTTCAGGTATGTTAAGAGCGGTTCCGAGTCGTTACCAGTCCTTGGAGACATGGAGACTTAATGAACAGTCCGTTACAATCCCGCCCCCTCCCCTCCCTTCCACAGCCAGTAAGAGCGTATTTACCAGTAATTCACGACCAAGAAGTTAGCTCTTACCCAAATACTGAGAGTGCTCTGCAAATAAACGATGAATGTAGCCAGGCGCTTAGCCAACCTGCTCGCAGGCTAAGACGTAAGGGACGTCGAGGAAGAAAAGCCAAGCGAAAATATTAAACCCCCTCGACAGCGTGAAACGGGCTACAATGAATGATTACGAGGTAAAGGGTTAAAAAAAATTTTAAACATCTAAGCATTCTAAGGAATACATGCCGTTTGCTAAAGGGGAAAGCCTGATCGTTAATGCAGTCGATGTTTGACAATCTTACTAACTTAAAGTCGAATTTCAAATTCATCTGAAGTGAAGTGTAGTAATAGTCTACAAAAATTTAAATGAAAATTATGTCTATAATAATGTTCATTCTAATGTCCCTGTTGCAGGATATCAAGGTCTGCAGGGACGCAGCAGACGGTCAGTTTTCGATAAAGTATCGTGCTCCAGCGGGGGTACTCACAGAGGAGGAGTGTCGTTTTGCTTGGACCTCAAAGAAAAGATGAAGCCAAAATCCTGTACCTTCTCTTCTAGTTCGTGCTATTACTTCATTGTTTGTACCGCCGATAGTTATGGCGGTCATACCTGTTCTTATGCTAGGCACGGCTATTATGATTACTGCTGTTCTTGGACCTGCGATTTACTCGACTCCTTGGGGTAAACACTGATGAAACCCGGTGGGTGAATACCAAAGTTTTATAAGAGAAGGCTCCGCCCCTAAGTACAATTCCTAACCCCTTTATACACCAATTTTGAAGGAGAAAGTACCCCTTTCGTGTACCTTCTAATGAAAAATGGTACCCCGTTCACATATCTAGTTTAGAACTTTGCATCTCAATTAACTGCTGTCTTTAAACATCTTTAAAATATGAACAATTAAATCACTAAAAGCAGATGATGTTTTCTCGACTTTATCACAGCCATAAGATGCAACTGTTAGCCATTTTGTGCCTTTTTATGTACAGATTAAAATGACAGATTTCCCTACCATTTCATATATACTTCAACTAGTGAAATCTCTACCCTTTCAAGTAACCGCTTTCTGACGGAGTCTCCCCTTATAGGCCATAGGGAGTACCCACACCCGGGTATAAAACTAAGCTTACTGTACTTGTTATAGCTAAAATGAAGAGTTTGCAAAAGACCAGTTAAGCACATATTATGAAGTAGGTTTCATAGTAAGTAGCTTGAATTATTTTTTTTCTCAGTGATTGGAATTATACAAAGTTTTCATGTACACTCTTTTTTACAAGGATGTTGTTTTTCGGGCCCAGGCTGAATATTCTTATTTTTCTGCTGATTTTTTAGCCTGGAAATATTCTTACATTATTCGTAAATTATAGCTTAATGACTTTTCCGTTTTAATTGCGGTTAACGGCAGGTTTTTTTTGTTTTGGTGACCATAGTTTTGCCGTTTAGAGAAAGGAATAGCATTAATTGTATTGTATTGGATTGGATTGTATTTACAGATTTGCACGCCAAATTATTATTTCAAAATTCCAGCATTGGGTTTATTCTTATCATATTGTCAAAATTTGGCAAATATCAGTCTAAATATTCTGTATAAAAAGAGTGTACCACGTGTAACACAAGTATAGCTTCAATACTGAGGAGATCAATCAACAAAGGATCGGTGTTCGCTTTGCTGACAACTATAAGTGAGGATCGACTGATTTTAAAATAATTTTTTTAAATTCAAATGATTGTACGGTCATATATAATCTAAGAGACTTGGCAAGATTGTCGTTGATCGTTCAAATGTATTACAAAAAAAAACTCATTAAAATTCTATCTAAATTTATCATACAGTAATGCCAAAGGCAAGTGCAAATTTAAAGTTCATCATACTTATTTTGCTCAGCTGAAGTAGGCTTATTCAAGAAAGAAAGGTAAATAGCTCAGAGAGAGCATATATAAATTAAAATGTTAGGAATTACTGTGAGAATGTTCTAAATAAATACTCAGTTGTTTACATTTGTTATTTACATTTGTTTAAAAGCTGAACCTCCATGTGACGTTGGTAAGTCCAAAACTAGCAGAAAGCAAATCTGTGATGTAAATGTTGGTTGATGTACGGAGCCTTGTATTCCGGCCTGTAAACCAATATACAAGTTAAAAGGTTACCTTATAATAAATATAGATTAGTGACAATATGTGTAATGAACGATATCATCAATCCAGCCTCCACAGAGGTCAAAAAACAAACCTCGTTATGAATCAAATGCCATGTCTTTTACCTTATATTATGAGATGTGGGTTACAAATGCGATGAACGGTTACAGCGCGATAAATTAATCATACCCAAGATATTAACCCTACTAAGATCTGGTTTGTTTTGCTTCCTGCGACCGGGAGGGGCTCCTTCGGAATTCCCCCTCCCCCCTCCCCCCCCCCCCCCTTCCCACATCCCTCTAAACCTCTCGTGATACCGCCACAGCAGAATAATGAGCTCATCATTTCCAACATCTAGGCAATGACGTGTTTGACGTCACCATGAAGTCAGTATCGTTAAAGTTGTTGGTAGACTGTTCGTCAGGCTTTCCAATACGGACCGGTTAAAGAGCTCGACCTCGACGATCTTACGAAATCATCATCATCATCATCATCTTTATTTAAAAACACGGTGAATACATCAGGCATTAACAATTTAATATAAAGCTACAACTTAAATACGAAACTATGTATACAGATTAATATTCTATAATTTAAAATATTGCTAACTATTAAGGAAAAGTAAACTAAATTAAAGCATCATCATCATCGCCTTCTTCATCGCTGGAGCGGGAAGCTTCGACGCCATCTTGTTCTACAGATTCGGGTGTGACGCTGTCATTTGAGTTCACAGTGCAAGCTAAATTGACCAGGTCTGCTCTTAATTGGTTGGCATTTTCTTTTCCTTGTATCTGAAGTGTTTTAGCCTTGATGTAGAAGTTGAACGTCATCCCTTTAACTTTCATTATCGAACACGTTCCGTTGTCTTTGACTTGGATATCACTACTTTCGACTTGCAACTGGGACGACAGAAAAGTTAATAAACTCTCTTTCGTACCCTGCCATTTTAGTTGGTCTTTTGAGGAAGTGTACGATAGAAGAGTAGAGGCCATTTAGCAACGCTTCTCACAACGCTTCTCGCAACGCCAAATTGAACGCCAAAAAGTAGGGGACTCTGAACAGTCTAAGTTATTGGCAGAATCCAAATTGCATCAATTTTTTCCCTGAAAGCAAACTGGGATTGTGTCACGGCTGTCTGGTTCATTTGGATAATACATTGCCAATTACGCATCCTTGTGCGTTATGGGATTTACCGTTAAATAAGAAGTTTTTTGTAAACGACAAAATAGCATCAACAAATATACCTCCCAAGTATTATATCAAAGTCAAAAGCAAGGAAAATGAACTTTGAAAAACTATTAGGCTTACAAGTTTTTAAAAACCCACAATTTCCAACAATTTTAATCTCGTTCAACTTTGTACATCTGTGCCCTCTTTTCTGCTGAGTTTTTAAACCTAATCTTTTACTTTTTTGATGTTTTGAGCGATTATTTTATGTTTCACTAAATTTGGTGACAATTCTAACAATTAGATTTTTGATAAATGTATGGCGCAGAAACAAACCCGGCTCTGACATTAACAAAAATCTTTGATGAAATTCGCGTTATTCGGCAGACAGCTCCTTCGGGGGGAGTTATAATTAGTTTATGAACCTGAATCGTAAGAAGGACTAAGAAGAAGGACCATAAACGCAAGACTAATATTTTAATAATATATTTTTGCGAGATACCTCTAGGAAGAGGAAGTGGCTTTCAGTTCCCGTGTAAGAAGTATATTTTTGTTCCCTTCATCCCTTCAGGAGCACCTATTAACGACTGTTTTCTGTGAAATATCTGTTCGGAGAAACAAAAATTGCTTAGAATTTTCCATAGCTTGGGGAAGGTTAAAAATTTCTAGATGACCGTTCCATTCATGTACAATTTTCGAAGCTTATCTGATAAATTCCCTACAATTTTCTGAAGTTTAATTTGTCCCATTTCACTCCCCAGGTTAAGCTATTTTGCGCAGAGAAAGGAAACCTAAAATTTTCGGAATCGAAAATGCGATGCAGAGAGGAATCAGAAATATTCTCACCTTCGTAAAGCTTTAAATTGGAGCTAAAATTTTCGGGAAATAAATTAAAACTGAAGCCCTTGTAATTTCGAAAAAACTTTAGTTGCCCTATGATGACTGAACAGATATAAATTTTTTACCGCCACTTAGAATGCATTTCTAGAAATCTAAAAGTACTCTGGATAGCCTAAAAAGCGTTTTCAGTGCATTTAGGAGGAAACCGTCGTTGGGTGCCCCTGTCCCTTGGCCAAAATCACAAAACACTAAACGTTTTTGGAATGCAGCCAGAGTATCAACAGGATGTGACTAAAACGGGGAGCGGGGAGCGGGGAGCGGGGAGCGGGGAGCGGGGAGCGGGGAGCGGGGAGCGGGGAGCGGGGAACGGGGAACGGGGAACGGAAGTCTGGGAACGAGTTGTCAGCGGAAGCCTCCACAAAATCAAAAATGGCGGTCCAAAAAACGAGAAAGAGAGAGAAGAATACAAAGAAAGGAATTCGATCGTGCCTTGGTTGAAATCAGATGGGGACGAAATTGCAAATCAGACTCACATTTTACGTTTACGTTTTGAGCAGGTGGTATGTTTTTTCGATATTCAACCTGTTTCATTTACAATATGATAAGGTCTTAGGTCTTAGTATTCGAGACACCTGGCACACTCACATTACTCCTGGATTACTCCGTTTACTTTAGACCGTCGCTTAATCCTGCCTGTTTATCTCCCTGAATGTTCTTTTTCCCACTCAGACAAACTCTTGGAGAGTAAAGGTTTTATCCAAGCCCATTATATGCCCTGTTTTGAGAATGCTTGGTAAATAACTCGCAGGCATTGTAATGAAAAATAAACGTGGAATTTATTAATGCATGTACATATAGTGTTCTCGCGTTCTGTGCTTGAGTCAAACTTTGTACAGCTATTAGTATTTAAACTAACGGCTAAAACTTGTTTTTTACAATTTTTTTATAACGGGGAAAGCTTGTTGTTGTTGTTAGTGTTATATTAAAGTCATTGAGTGATGAGTTATGAATCGTTTAAGGTCAGGGTTTGGATTTGAAAGCAGGGTTAAGCACTGACTTCAAGAAGGTGGTCGACAAAACACTGACCCCCATTCCATGAACTACCCCCAATGACTACCCTAAAATGGACTATGCCACTGAAGTTAAGTGATTAGGGTTAGGAAAGTGAGTGAATCAGGTTCCATTTAGGGTCCTTATACTGGGAAAACTGACCTAAAACTTCATTCACTCAGTTTCCTAACCCTAATCACTAAACTTCAGCGGTGTAGTCCATTTTAGGGTATGTCCATGAAGTGTGGGTCAGTGTTTTGTCCACCACCCTTCAAGAAGTGTTTATTCAGGTTTGTCACTATATTTACTGTATGTACCAGTATTTGTTTAAAGCAGATAGTAGCAGTTAATCCGAGATACTTGAAGTTTTTCACTTGACTCATGACTCATCGACTCAATTATTTAATTGCCTCTATAATTTCAACTCCTTGACCCATAACGTGGCCTAATTTTAAACCGGCATTTTCTTGGCCTTTACTAGAAACGCCAAAG